CCTGCCTGGTCCCTTCCCTATCCCTGCCTGGTCCCTTCCCTATTCCTGCCTGGTCCCTGCATTGTCCCTGCCTGGTCCCTTCCCTATCCCTGCCTGGTCCCTTCCCTATTCCTGCCTGGTCCCTGCATTGTCCCTGCCTGGTCCCTTCCCTATCCCTGCCTGGTCCCTGCCTGGTCCCCCACCCATCTGCGATCCTCAGGGGCTGCCCTGGGGATCTCTTACCCAGCGTGTCACGTTTGCTGGACTGGTGTTGCCTGCACCGTGCCAGGCTGAGACACATGTTTCCAGTGGGGGTTTGGGTCAGATCCAGCCCTTCCCCAGGGCTGGAGCCCTCCCATGGGTCCTCATATGGCAGCAGGGGTGACAGTGGCCTCAGCCGAGAGCTTTAGGACTCTCGGTACAAATTATCCAGCCTGGCTGGTTCTCGGCATGGCACTGGCATCCCCCAACACTTCTGGGGGTGTTTGTCCTCACCAGCTGCAGCAGTGGGACCCCCTCGGTCATCCTGACATGTGGGACATTGGGATTGCTGCCTTGGAGTCATAGATGAGGAAACTGAGGCACAGGGCTGGGAGGAAGAGCCCTGGGCAGGGTCACTGAGGGCTGGGCATGGCTGGGGAGGGAGTGTCTCGCTGTTACCTCCTGTGTGTTCCTCTGTTTCCCCTGGTCCCCATCTGGGAAGGGGGTGCTCCCTGGCATTGCGGTCTGTGCCCAGATCCCGCTGTGCCCATGGAACTGACACTCCTTTTTGCTCACAGTGGGCTCCGGGCCACAGCAAAGATCACATACCAGGCGGTGCTGCTGGAGAACCTGGTATGTAGGTCCTTCCTCCTCCTCCTCCTCCTCTCTCTCCCAGTGGGAGGACAGGGCATGGCTGTGCCCAGCCAAACTTGCCCGATGCACAGGGAGCAGCTGCAGGGCGCAGTGCCCAGCCCCACAATGTCCCAGTGTCCCCGTGGGAGCGGGGCAGGTGGCAGTGCCACCGTTCCTTCTCCCGGAACACCTGTGCTCCCGTCACCGGACGCTGCCGTGGCCATCAGCAATGCCGTGTCCTGCCTTGCAGGGGGTGACCCTCACCCTGTGGTCCACGTGTGGCCTGTCCCGAGGGGGCCTCTACGGGGAGTGGCAGGGGGTCATCTGCCCCGGGGAGAGCAGCTCGCAGGTCCAGGTACGGCACCGGGGGGGAGCAGGGGGAGGGAGCAGGGGGAGGTCTCCAGCTTAACCCCCCTGCCGTGCCATTCCCACAGAAGTACCTGCAGCAGCTGTGGAACACCATCCTGCTGATTGCCCTGCTGCTCTGCACCGGGGTCATGGTGCAGGCACAACGCCAGTCGCGGCAGGACCTGTCAGAGCGGGATGCCGAGGTGGGAACGTCCCCGCTGTGCCCTGTGCCTGGGGCAGTGGCACGAAGGCCTGCCCCTGCCCCTGGCTCTGCCCCTGCCCCTTGGCTCTGCCCCTGACCCCTGGCTCTGCCCTTGCAGCTGGACCTGAAGCAGCACATTCGGCGGCGGCTGTTGGCGCTGAAAACCCGGCGGTACCACCCTGGGAAGCCGCCGCGGAGCCGGGCCTGTGAGATCGATAGCTGTGCTGTGTGCTTGGACCAGTTCCACAAGAGCCAGGTGGGACTGGGGGGCCTGGAGCCTGCCCTGGGGGCACTGGTGCTGGTGCCACCCTGGGACGAGGTGTCCCTGCGGGGTCCAGCTGTTTCCCTGTCAGGGTCCAGCTGTGTCCCTGCCAGGGTCTGGCTGTGTCCCTGCTGGGTCCATTCATGTGTGCCCTCCCTTCCCTGCCGGCAGTGGCTGCGGGTGCTGCCCTGCTCCCACGAGTTCCACCGGGACTGTGTGGATCCCTGGCTCCTGCTGCAGCAGACCTGCCCTCTCTGCAAGCGCAACATCCTGGGTGAGAACTGCCATGGCACCTGGCCAGGACCCCTTGGTCACCCCAGGGCGTGGGCTGGGGAGCACTGAGAGCCCTCCAGGCTCCCTGTGCCATGGCTCTCCACCGTTCTCTCTTGCAGGGAACTGCTGCACGGACAGCTAGCGGGCCTGAGGACACTCCAGGGACAGACCCACGGCCACTCCGGGGAGAGGGAGGGGACAGGGGGTGCCCAGTGAGTGGCACCTGCTGCCAGAGCTGGGTCAGTGTGGCTGTGCCACCACAGCGCCCGGACACCAGAGGGAAGGACTCGGGGCTCTCTGATGGGTGTGAGTAGAGGGGTGGGAGGTCCAGATGGGCAGTGCCAGATAGGGAAGCTACGGGGGCACCCATGGGTGTAACAGGGTGAGGGCTGGGGGCAGGGAGAGTCCTGACCCTGCCACCCTTGCCCTGCTCATGGGAATTTTTCTAAGTCTTGGGTTTTTTGTCTATTTGCTGGTGGCCATGGCAGGGTGGGCAGAGCCCGGCTGTGGCACCAGCCCCTCGGGGAGGTGGGGGACAGACCTGCCAGGGCTGGGGCTGGCAGGACTGCGGGGTGACCCATGGCCCTGCTGTGGGAGGGGAGGGGGCAAGGATGCTTTATTTATAGTAACTTATTAGAAAGGATGGCACGAGTCGGCTGCAGAGCCACCACTGGGCTCCTCTCACCCAACATGTGAGTGGGGACATGCCATGAGCCCTGCCTGGCTCCTGCCCCACAGGCTGCAGCGTGGCACGTGTCCATCCCTATTAAACACAGAGCAAGGACTGGCTGTGTGGCTTGTGTGGGGTTCATGGGGCAGCTGGGAGGTCATGGCCAGCCTGTGCCAGTGCCTCGGTAGTCCCCAGCCCCTCTGGGTGCTCATGGAGTGAGGAATGACTTTTCCAGGCTGTGGCTGTGCTGGTGGGCCAAGAGCGGCTGGGATTCCTTCATCCCAGCCCAGCTCTGCCTTCCTCTTCCAAGTGTGGCCACATCCCAGTCCCCTCTTGGGAATGGTTCCTGGCAGGAACTAACACACACAGTGCCCAGGCATTGGCACGGGCAGGGCTGTGCTGGGGCCTCCAACAGCAGTGTAGCCAAGGGTGACTGAACTCCAGCGCCCAGGAACGTCCCTGGAGCAGCTCCACAAGGAACAGGCAGAGCCCGGGTTTCCCAAGGGAATGTGCATTCCTGACGCACAAAGACCTGGTAACAAGATCCCCCTGGGCAGGGCAGGTGGCTGCTCATGGAACAGTTCATTTCCCTGTTAGAAGATCAGCTCATCAGTGTTTATTTGTGGTGGGTCCCCGTGTGGTGCAAGGGGGGGTCGAGCCCCAGGCGTCCCACTGGGAGCGACAGGCTGGGTCTGGCCTGGAATGTGGGCCCTGCCCGGAGCACCTTGGAGTGCTGGCTGCTGGGAACTCGATGCCAGGCCTTGTCCATGCATCCCGGCATCCCTCTGCTGTCCCTGCTGTCTCTGCTGTCGCTGCTGCCTCCCCTGCTGGGCCACCTGCAGTGGTGGGAGCAGTTAGAGAAGACGAAGAGCAGAGAAACTCCCAGCCCCTTTCTCTGGGCTCCTACTCACCCTGTGTCCTGCCCGCTGGCCTTCCCTTGGAGCTGGGACCCCAGCTGGGCCTGTGGGATTAGCTGAGGCAGGGAAGAGAAGAGGGGGTGAAATTCCACATCTCCCCAGCATTCAGGTCCAGTCACAGCCCTCAGCCTCTGGCCTGGAGGTGTCACTGCTGGAACCGGCCCTGGGCACCTCAGGGCTGAGCGACCTCCCAGCAGCATGAGGATCCCAGCCTGGCCCTCCTGCGGTCCCCAGAGGATGTCTGGGGGCCATGGGGTGGTTTTGGGGTGCACAGCACCCACCCCCCTCTGCCCCATGGCCCCAGCTCACCTTGAGCACACCCTGCTGGGCAGCCGCCTTCACCTTGGCCAGCACAGCGCCCAGCCGCGCGTTCTCCCGCTCCAGCACCCCGATCCGGATGCTGTTGGCCTGGAGCTGATTCTCCATGTCCTCCGTCAAGTTCCCAGTGCCTGCAGGCAAAATCCAGCGGAGCTCAGCCTGCTCAGAGGTGTGGGCATCCCTCCTGCCTGCCAAGGAAAGGAGCCTGCCCCAGCCTGGGAGCACGGGCCAGCCTGGGAGGTGGCAGCTGGGACCCCAAACTCTGCAGGCAAATGTAGCTCTGCCATGTCCTGGTCCTGCTGTAATTCCTGGCCTGGAGGTGGGATGCATGGCACCCACATAGGGAAGCACGTTGGGACGGTCACAGCTTAGCACAGCCCAGGGCCTGAGCTCTTCCTGGATATCAGTGGGACAAATGGTGTGTCTGGGGCCAGCAGGATCCCCTGGGAGACCCCAAAGGCACTAGCCCGGGGTATTGCTACTCCCTTACTCTCAAACTGCGCCTCAGTGGGGACATGGAGCTCAGGGAAGAACACCAGGAGCCTCTCCCGCTCCCTCAGCTCCTGCGCCTGCTCCTCCAGCCGGGACGTGTTTGTCTGCAGCTCCAGGATGGATTGCTCCAGGGCCAGCTTCTCCTGCTGCAGCCTGTCCAGCAGCTCCTGCGTGGCACAGTGGGGAGGAGGGGAGGTTTGCAGGATGAGGAATCCCATGGGAGCACTCAGACCTCCATGGAAAGCTCCCTCCCTTTCCTCATGTGATAAGGTTGTCCCATGAAGTTGAGAAAGGGACAGGAATAATGTGCAGGGGCTTGGCTCTAAGGTCCCTGTGTGACCTGGAAGCAGCAGCACTGAATATGTCTAGGAATGGGCACACTGGAGATGTGGGAGCAGCCTGAGGTGTCCCTTTCTGCTGCCTTGGGTGGGAAAAATCAGTGGAGACCTGTCTGCAAGGGGCTGAGGGAGAGTCCCGGGAGGGATGACCATGTGGCAATGTCACCATGTCACCCAGAGTGCCCCTCCTGGAAAGCTCTGGCTGTGGGTGTGGGTCAGGGCACCGTGTGGCTCTGGACACGCCCGTGGCACAGCTGTGTCCCACACCTGGGTACCAGCTCTCACCTGCTGCACCTGGAGCTGTTTCCCGCTCTGCTCCCGGCTCTGCTCCAGCTGCTCCTCCAGCCGGGCCTTGTCCTCCTTGGCCTCTTCCAGGCTGTTCTGCAGCTCCTCCCGCTCCCGGTCCAGCCTGTCAAGCTGCTGCAGCAGGAGCTTCTGCTTGGCCTGCAGGGACTGTGGGGGTGGGTGAGGTTGTGTGGGGCTGTGGCACCCGCTCCCCCCTGCCCTGACACCGGGGGCAGCTCCGGGCCGGCCGTACCTCCTCGTGCAGCAGCACACTCTGCACTCGGACCTTCTCCTTCTCCAGCTCCAAGCTGGTGGCACTCAGCTCCTGCTCCAGGCTGTCCCGCTGGCCTGTGAGCATCTGCACCTTCTCCTCTAGCTCCAGCATCTGGCTCCGGGCCACCATGGTGGTCCTCATCTCCTCCAGCAAGGAGGTCTTGGTGAGCTCTGGGGAGACAAAGCGGCTGTGGCCCAGGGTGGGCGGGGGGGGAACAAGTGGAAGGTCCACAAAGATGCTGCCAGGGCTGGAGCCCCTCTGCTCTGGAGCCAGGATGGGAGAGCTGGGGGGGTTCACCTGGACAAGAGAAGGCTCCAGGGAGAGCTGAGAGCCCCTTGCAGGGCCTAAAGGGGCTCCAGGAGAGCTGGAGAGGGACTGGGGACAAGGGATGGAACGACAGGACAAAGGGGAATGGCTTCAAACTGTCAGAGGGCAGGGATAGATGGGAGATTGGGAAGGAATTGTTGGCTGTGAGGGTGGGGAGGCCCTGGCCCAGGTTGCCCAGAGGAGCTGTGGCTGCCCCTGGATCCCTGCAAGTGTCCAAGGCCAGTTTGGACGGGGCTTGGAGCAACCTGGGCTAGTGGGAGGTGTCCCTGCCCATGGCAGGGGGTGCATCTGAATGGGCTTTAAGGTCCTTCCGACCCAAAGCATTCCATGATTCTATGATTTAGGGGCCCCCAATGCCCTGCACAGGTCCTGGCAAGGGGGGGAAGGTCTGACAGGACAGTTGTGACCCCCCCTAATCTCCACTAGCAGCAGCCCATTCTGCACTGGGTGATGTTGGGGCGCTGCTGTGAAGGAGGCCCTTCCTCTGCCCATCCCTACCAGCTCTACAGCCTCATCTGGGTGCACTGGGGGCTACATGGGTGTGAAACACCATAAGAGGGACAAGGGTGGGGGAAATGTGCATGCTGGGTGACCCTGGGGGTCCTCACCGAGCTCCTGCAGAGCTGCCTGCTTCACCTCCAGCTCCTCCTTCAGGGTGGAGAGTCGCTCCTCCAGCAGAGCCGCTCCTAAATCAGCATAAAAAACCCCTCCAATTAATCAGCTCCTCAAAAAAACTAAAGTGAAGCAGAAAACAGGCCCACCAAAGTTTTTTTTATCCAGTGATTGTGTTGTGCTGCAGCAGGGAGGAGGCAGTGACAGGACATGGACAACCAGCTCCTGCTGCCTGGGATTATCCTCACAGCAGGGAAAATTCCCCAGCACCTACAAAAATCCATGGCAAAAGCCCTGCAGCTGGTGGTGGGGCCCAAATTTGCCCATGAACTCTGTGCTTCTCCTGCACATACCCCAGGCCTGGGAGGGAATGCTGGGAACAGCTCTGTACCTCTCCTTAGATCATTCTTATCCTGCTCCAGCCTGGCCACAGCCTCCGAATGCTCCTTGTCCTTGGCTTTCAGGCTCTGCTCTGTCTTCCTCTGCTGCTGCACTTGGGTCTCCCTCTCCACCTGCAGCTTCCGGGAAAAGTCCTCCACCTGTTTCCTCAGCTCCTCCTTCTGTTTCCCCACCTCTTCCAGCTCAGCCTTCACCGGGTTCAGCTGCTGCAGCAGCTCCTGGAGGTGTTTGTTGATCCGGGAGAGATCCTTGCTCTGCTCTGCGGCCCAGTAGCTCAGCTCTGTCGCAGAGAGGCTCCTTCTCCCCGTGCTGTCCTCCAGCACCCCCTGGAATTTGCTGAGGGCCGAGGGGATGTTCTGGCTCTGGCAGAGGCTGGTGATGGCTCTGCCCACCTCCCGCAGGCTGGCCTGGGCGCTGGAGCAGCTGTCACAGGAGCCCAGGGGGCACCTCGAGGTCTGTGTGGGGACACTGCGGGTGCCCCGGGCCAGGCTGGGGCCAGCCCTGGGCTGAGAGCTGCCCGAACTGCCCAGAGAGTGAGGAGGAGATTGCTGTGTGGGGATCTCCTTCCTGCAATCCTTGTCCTGAGGGAGAGAGCACAGAACAGGACCAGTGCCCAGATCGAACTGGAAACGATCCACAAGAGCCCAAATCTGAGGTGTGAGCTGTGGGAATGGGACAGCAGTGCAGCCAAGGGACAGTGACCAAGGAGCAGCCTCAGCAGCAGAAGCTGCTCCCCACCTCCCCTTCTTGTGACTATCCCTTCTTTCCCACCCCCTGTGCTGTCTCCTGGGTATGCCACATGGATTATTGTGAGACTTCTCCACAAGAAAGAACTTTTTTGGGAAAATAAAATGCAGAGGAGGGACATGGTGTTTTTACCCCGTTATTTCACTGATTTGAAGCAGCTCAGCCCCTCAGTGGGGTCGCCTGAACTGCAGCATTTTGGCAGGAGGAGAATATTTTCCAAGCTACAGAGGCAGCCAAGCTCACCCATCCCGAGATGCTGGTGGAGGATGGATCCAGCAGCACAGCTGGGAGTAGGGGAGGGAAGGGACTCGGGTGGGGAGGGCACAGTGTGGGACAGATGTGACACACAGGTCAGCACTCAAAGAGTTGGAGCACAGGATGTCCCAGAGAAGGACCACGGTCCAAATCCCGGGGGGGTGACCCCAGATGTCTCACCTGGTGCTGGAGCTGCTGGCAGAAGGCCCCCAGTCTCAGCATGGTGCTCCAGAACCTCCTGGCCGTGAGCCCCGCGGACATGCAGGGTCCCGGGCCCTGCGCCGGCGGCACCGCGCGCCTGCACAGCACCATCTCCGCGTAGCCCGTGAAGCTCTGCAGCAGCAGCAGGAGCCTGTCCCGGCGGGAGAACACGCCTTGGAGCCACAGGGATCAGAAATGGGAGCTGGGAGAGGTTGTTGGCCCCCTCCCCATCCCCTGCACAAAGCCAGTGTGGTGCAGGAGGGTGGGATTGGTGCTCCCGGGACCTTCCCCCCGCGGCTGAGATCACTCCATGGAGCAGCATTTGGTGGGATCAAAGTCAGGCTGTGCACACTGGCTGTGATTAGGCTCTCTCTAAAGTTTTGGGACACCAATCCTAATTTTTAGGGCCAGTAGCTGTGAGGGAATGGCTCATCTTTTAAACCTCAGTCTCCTCCAGCTGAACAAGCCAAGTGCCCTCAGTTTCTCCTCAAGGCCCTTCACCATCCTCCCAGCCCTCCTTTGGACACAGCTTTATGTCCTTCTTGTACCGAGGTGCCCAAAGCTGGCCCCAGGACTCGGCTGAGCTCAGCAGGTTGGACCCACATCCCCCTTCCCTCTGGGGTGCTCAGGGCTGTCTCACCTGTCTATGAGCAGCTCCAGCAGCACCACGTGTGAGTGCTGGCTTAACTCGGGCTCGCTCTCGCTGTGCCTGTACCGCTGCAGCAGCAGCGACATGTCCAGGTCGCAGGACACCTTGTCAGGGAACTTCCATGACGGGAAGCGCACGGCACCGGCCCGGGAGGTCACGTCGGCAATGGCAGCCTGCAGGTCCTGCAGGTCGGCCCGCAGGCTCTCTATGCAGCCGCGGTGGCCCAGCAGGTGCGCCATGGTGGGCGGTGGGACACGGGCTGAGAACCACGGGGCCACCACGCCAGGGTGCTGAGGGGTCACCGGGTGTGCGATAGAGGGAACGCTCTACCGGGATAGCCCGCTGGAAAGGGACTGGCACGGTGTTACCGGGCCCCGGGGGCTCCAGGAGGGCGGGGGAAGCAGAGGGAACCGAGAGGAAACAGGGTGAACGGTGGAGAGGAGGGGCCGGGCCGGGCTAGGCCGCGGCGTCCCGGCCCTGTTGCCATGGTAACCTCCCCCCCGCCCCGCAGTGGTACGCGCCTGCTCTGTGCGGGCTCCCCCCTTGCGGCCGCTCATGGTACGGCCCATGGCGCGCGCGCGCTGTATCGTCTCCCCCCTGCACTCCCGGCACTGTGCGCCCCCTGGCGGCCGCGCGTCACTTCCGCTGCGCACGCGCAGCGCCGGGCCCGCGGCCGCCATTTCGCCCGTGTCGGTGCCGGTGTCGCGACAGGGCCTGGACGGCCCCGGCAGATCCCGATCGGCTCCCGACAGACCCTGATCGATCCTCGGCTGTCCCTGATCGGCCCCGCGGGGAAGCGCCCTCGCCTTGCCCAGCAGCACCATGCCGGCCGGACCCGTGCAGGCCGTGCCGCCGGCGCAGCCCGCGCCCCCCGCCGAGAGCAAACCGGTGCGGGAATGGGGAGCTGTGAGGGGATGGGGGGCCGTGAGGGGATGAGGTGTGGGGGGGTAAAACGGGGCGGACCGCGGGTGTTTCGGGTCTGGCCGCTCGCGCTGACCCCTCGGTGCGGGTGTGGGGGAGGCGGGAGTTCTGCCCTGTGCGTGGCTGGTTCGGAGGGGATTGACGCCCCCCGAGCCCTCAGGTGAGACTCCTCCTGCAGAGCTGCCTCCAGCTCTGGGATCCCAGCACAGAAAGGACGTGGAGAGAGTCCAGAGGAGGCCCCGGAGATGCTGCCAGGGCTGGAGCCCCTCTGCTCTGGAGCCAGGCTGGGAGAGCTGGGGGGGTTC